ACTTGGTTATTCATATAAACCTTGTGAAATGTCAACATTTACCAACTGATATTTGTGTCACTCTAGTTTTCCCTCAAAATAAGAAAGATAAATATTTTTATTATTTGTATTTGAGGAACATATACAAATATGTAGCAGAGATTTTAAGTTTAATGGGAGGCGTGACTAGGTATCCCCTAGAGCCTTTTTCCAGGTGCTAGATTCTGATTCATAGAAATCATGTTCTAAGATTTGCAGAGAAGGGTAGCTCATTATTCAAGATTCAAAAAAGTCTTGGCATGAGGAAATGAATCTGAAGTGGTAAAGGTGATGAAATAACTAGAGCAGATGTTCCAGTGGCATAACCTGAGATCAGGAAGCCCTGGCTTCTTGTAGCAGGTCCACCAGGAAACTGCTGGTGAGCTTCCTCCTCTTAGTGTAGTATCAGAAATTTATATATATAAACTCCTTTATATAAAAAGAGTTGATGTTTCTATTTTACTCTCAGTATTTCTGAATTATTTTGCTCAGTACTCTTTTTTTTTTTTCTTTGAGACGGAGTCTTGCTCTGTTATCCAGGCCAGAGTGCAGTGGTGCCATCTTGGCCCACCACAACCTCCACCTCCCGGGTTCAAGCAGTTATCTGCCTCAGCCTTCTGAGTAGCTGGGATCACAGGCACCCGCCACCACACCTGGCTAATTTTTTTGTATTTTCAGTAGAGATGGGGTTTCACTATCTTGGCCAGGCTGGTCTTGAACTCCTGATCTTGTGATCCACCTGCCTTGGCCTCCCAAAGTGCTGGGATTACAGGCATGAGTGCTCAGTACTCTTTTTAAGAGGAATATTGAGAAACTAGCCCAACATAAAAGGGTCTGCAATTTTAATTATTTGATGTCTTGGGGATACTTGTTTTGGAAGAGAGGGGACCAGGTGAGATGAGAGGTGTTTCCAGGTGTTTGAAAGACTCTTAAAGATGAGAATAACTACTGTTTATTGAATGCCTTCCAAGATCTTAGTCCTACACTGGCCTCTTTTACCCATATTGCCTGGTTCAGTACTCAAAAGAGTCTCATGGTGACTAACCAGTGCATACAGAGAGACTCTTACTCTGTATTTCTGGAGCTCTGGCGATATCTACAGGGAGGTAGATTTCCACTTGATATACGAAAGAGCTTTGTGGCCTGGCACGGTAGCTCACGCCTGTAATCCCAGCACTTTGGGAGGCCGAGGCGGGCAGATCACCTGAGGCCGGGAGTTCGAGACAAGCCTAGCCAACATGGTGAAACCCCATCTCTACTAAAAATATGAAAATTAGCCGGGTGTGGTGGCAGGTGCCTGTAATCCCAGCTAAGGCTGAGGCAGGAGAATCACTTGAACCCAGGAGGCAAAGGTTGCAGTGAGCCAAGATCGCCCCATTGCACTCCAGCCTGAGTGACCAGAGTGAAACTCTCTCTCAAAAAAAAAAAAAAAAAAAAAAAAAAAAAGAAAAAGAGAGAAAGAAAGAGAGAGAGAAAAAAAGAGAGAAAGAAAGAAAGAAAACAAGAAAACTTTGTATTAGTTAAAATTGTCCATCCAAAACACGGGACACTTTGAAAGCTAGCGAGCCTGCACCAGGATCTAATTCTTCAGATGGAAGCTGCAGGATAGAGCTGTTCACAGGCCGACCTCACGTCAGGTGGAAGGCTCTAAGGCAAGACTCATCCTGTGCTGAGGGTCCCTCTTGAATTGTCCGAGGAGAGATCAGAGGCCGACGAGAGGTGTTGGATTCTCTTTCAGTTACCTCTTTTAGAGCCTTAAATATCAAGAGCAGCGTTTTTCAGACTTTTAAAAAACCATCTCCTGCTGTGAGAGATACATTTTGCATTGTGACCTAGTACTCCCATATGTAACTGAAACAAATTTCACAGACACTTCCCTGACTGCATGCAGTATTCTCTGATGTAGCCAACCCTCTGCCTTGTTGTTAATATTAGTTGTTAACTCCTAAATTGATTTTAAAACCCATTAATAGGTTGTATGCTTTAGTTTGAGAAACACTTGTCTAAAGAATTTTGAATTTTTAGTTCTCAGCCTGATAAGCTTTTGCTCACACAATCTGTCTTGTAACAATTCCCGAAAAGATTTAAAATTAACCTCTGTTTGAGGTGTATTGCTGGATAGTGGATCCTCTTCTTTCTCTTAGTATTTATTCTCCTTGTAGCCAATCTGAGTGTGAGAGACATATACACAAAAGAATAAATTAGGGCTTCGAGGGAGTGAGTAGGACTCTGGAGGGATGCCACAGGAAGAAGGCCACTGGAATTCAAACCCAGCACCTGTGGTTCCAGCCTTTTCCTTTAGACTGTTTGCATTTGACTACTGCAGAGAGGAGTGCCAAATAATGTGGTTGAAGAAGACAAATTTTGTTTCCTAAAAATGCAGTTGCAACATGAGTATTAAAGGCAGTGGGAACTTGCATTGGACTTCTCTGCTCTCTTTGGCAGTGGTTATTATTTTGCTTTACTTTATTTATTTATTTGAGACAGAGTCTCACTCTGTCACCCAGGCTGGAGTGCAATGGTGCAATCTCGGCTCACTGCAACCTCTGCCTCTCAGGTTCAAGCGATTCTTCTGTCTCAGCTTCCTGAGTAGCTGGGACTATAGGCGCCCGCTACTGCCCCTGGCTAATTTTTGTCTTTTTAGTGGAGATGGGGTTTTGCCATGTTGTTCAGACTGGTCTCAAACTCCTGACCTCAGGTGATCCACCTGCCTCAGCCTCCCAAAGTGCTGGGATTACAGGTATGAGCCACCATGCCCAGCCTATAATTTCTTTAAGAGGCAACAAGATAAAGTAGATTTAAAAACTTGATTACCCCTTGAAAGTCTTTAATATTCAGTTTTTCTGAGGAAATATTAGAAAATGTGTTACCTTAAATAGGAACTACAAGAAATAATAAAGTACAGAGCTTTATGTGAAGTTGTGAATATCCTTTATACCAGAGGTTTTTCAAAAAAGTTGACAACGCCTCCTCATTCATTGAGATGCCGTTTCCCAAGTAGGCTCCTGGGCTTGCAGTGCTGAACCTAACGGAGACCTGGCCTGGCCCCACTGGAGCTCAGGGCTGTGCCCTCATGTGCGTGCTGATGTGGCTGGAGAGTGAGGGAGTGTGTGTGGCTGGAGAGTGAGGGAGTGTGTGTGGCTGGAGAGTGAGGGAGTGTGTGTGGCTGGAGAGTGAGGGAGTGTGTGTGGCTGGAGAGTGAGGGAGTGTGTGTGGCTGGAGAGTGAGGGAGTGTGTGTGGCTGGAGAGTGAGGGAGTGTGTGTGGCTGGAGAGTGAGGGAGTGTGTGTGGCTGGAGAGTGAGGGAGTGTGTGTGGCTGGAGAGTGAGGGAGTGTGTGTGGCTGGAGAGTGAGGGAGTGTGTGTGGCTGGAGAGTGAGGGAGTGTGTGTGGCTGGAGAGTGAGGGAGGCAAAGGCCCTTCTGGGTCATGCCTGCGGAGCTGCTGCTTTACCTTTGGGGGAGCTGAAAAGGTTGCATGGAGGAGTGACTGAGGAACCAGCCTGGGCATGATTAGGGCACACAGTGAGGACCGCACAGACCAGGATCAGGGAGTTGTGTGGTTTGGTGTGTCTACCGTAGGTGGTGGTGGCGGTAGGCAGGAGACAGAATTTGGAGTTTATTCTCGTAAAGAGCTGGTAATGGGCTCTAAGGCTTTTCAGCAGAGAGATATTCCTAGTGGCTGCGAAGTTGCTTGCTGTGCTAGAGCATGGAGGCAGGAAGATCGATTAGGTAAAAACAGAGTTGAAGGAGGAAGTCAGGGTGGCGAGCAGGAGCTGAAATCAAGAGTTGCTGGAGAGTTGTATAATAACCAAAGCTTGTGTGGTTTGAAGCAGAGATCTGGAGCCCAGCTGAAAGAAAAGAGATCCATGCTAACAGCTCGATTTGGGGACTCTGGAAATGAGCAGGAATCCAAGGCATCAGAAAGCCAGGGCAGTGCCACAACACAGGGCTGCAGAGAGGGCAGCAGGAGCTGGGTCAGCGCAGGGGCTCGTCAAAAGGTCATAGGCTCTTTCTCCAGCTGATACAAGGACAGAAACACACATACACAAGGTCTGGAGGATTCCTGTGAGACAGCCATATATCCCTGTCACTTCACAATAAGTAAAGACATTCTTGTTTGAGGGGTAAGAGGAGCATTTTTTTAAAGACAGCAGCTACAGATTTCAGCACCCTCAGCATTCAGAACATGTATTTAAACCAGGATAAGCTGTAAATTGTATGATAATCATCCCTGTGTATTTAAACAACACACCATGGGCCTCACCTTTTCCTTCATTCTTTTGGGCGTATTAAAGCACCTCTAAGGTGGATGAGTCAGTCACCTGCAGATCTGAAACTGCTGATTTTGGGAAAACACTTAATGGCTTCCTGGCCTTACCAGAGGGGTTGGGAAATAGCTGGGGACAGCCCAGGCCACCCTTCAGTTAGGGTCACTTCTCTGTTACTTTAAACATTTGACTACTCTTTAACTAATTTATGACTTCTTTTTTCCTTTTATTCCATAGGGTAGAATGGTTTTGAAGAAGAAAAACACTGCTTTCTGACTGATTGCCTTGAAGGAAAAAAGAACCTATTTTTGTGCATCATTTACCAATCATGCCACACAAGCATTTATTTTTAGTACATTTTATTTTTTCATAAAATTGCTAATGCCAAAGCTTTGTATTAAAAGAAATAAATAATAAAATAAAAAGACTGTGCTATTGAGTATTATTAACCAGACCTGTGTTTTGAGGGCTGATTTGGAGATCGCAGACCCGGATTGCACTTGTTTGTGTTTCAGAGACAGAATGTGCTCCTGGCTCCCGTGAGAGGAACAGGGATTGACACTTATTCTTGGTGTCTTCACATGGGCTCCTGCCCACATAGGGCGCAAGAGTGGGGACGTGCTGCTGGTGATGCCGCTTAGGGTGGTCAGTTGATTTACTCATTCTTCAACGTGGACATTCACTCTCTAATAATTTCTTCTTTGTGCTTGATCAGCCTTCCCCAGAGCTTCGGCACCCCCAGCAGCAGGGACTTGGAACGTTTGCTCCCCACTGTGCTTCTGCACCCAACAGAGTGCTTTGCGCATAGTAAGTGCTCAATAAATATTTGTGGAATGAAGGAATAAGTGTAAAAAAGATTTTCCAAGCCATACCTAATTAGTAATAAATTATAGCTGTCTGAGATCTTTTTTTTTTTTTTACCTACTTTGTGTTCTTTTAAAAACAGAAAATTCAAAAAAGTAGGGTGAGAGCAATTTTACATGTGCCAATGAAGTATTTTTGCTTTACTGATGAGGAGAATTTCAAAATATTTTGTTACATTGAATTATATTCTTGAAGGATTTTCAGTATTTGTAAATGTTTGCAGCAGTGAATTCTTAATCTTCTACCTCAGCCTACCTGAGGAGTGAGAACATATATTCCTATTAAAAACGGGTTCACTTCAGTAGTCATGCTCAAATCAGCAGGGGGCTGAAAGGATTTTGGTAATTGAAATATAATTCACATACTATAAAATTACCCTTGTAGAGTGTATATTTCAGTTGTTTTAGTATAGTCACAAAGTTATGCTACCATCACGACTATCAAATTCAAGAACATTTTCATCACGCCATAAAGAAACCTCATACTCATTAACAGTAACTACTTACCCCTGCCACCCCTGGAAATCTGGAAATCTACTCATTGTTTCTGTGGATTTGCCTGTTCTGGGCATTTCATGTGAATAGAACCATACAGTATGTGGCTTTTTGTGTCTGGCTTCTTTGACTTAGCATAATGTGTTCACAGTTCATACATGTTATAGCATGCGTCAGTACTTCTTTGTGTAGCTGAGTAACACTCCATAGTATGGATGTACCACATTTTGTTCTGCTGATGGACGCTTGACTTGTTCCCACTGTTTGGCTGTTATGAATAATGTTGCTATAAACATTCATGAACAAATTTTGGCATGAATATATATTTTCAGTTCTCTGGATATGTCCCTAGGAGTGCAATTGCTGGATTATGTCATAACTGTATGTTTAACTTCGTGAGAAATTGCCAAAATATTCTTCAAAGCAGCTACACCATTTTGCATTCTCACCAAGAACGTATGAGGGTTGCAATTTCTTCACAACCTCCCTAACACCAGTGACTGCCTGTCTTTTTTCTTATAGATGTCATAGTGGGTGTGAAGGAGCTGTCTCATGTTTTTAACATGCATTACCCTAGTGACTAAAGATTCAACATCTTTTCATGTGCTTTTGGCCATTTTCTATTTTCTTTGGAGAAATGTCTATCCCAGTGCTTTGCCCATTTTTAAATTGGACTTTTTTGTTGTAAGAGTTCTTTGTATGTTCTAGATACTAGGCCTTTATCAGACAGGTGATTTGAAATATTTTCTCCCATTCTCTATTTATTCACTTTCTTGGTAGTGTCTTTCAAAGCATAAAGTTTTAAATTTGGATGAAGTTGAATATGTCTGTTTTTTCCTTTGGTTGATTGTACTTTAGATGTCTAAGAAAGTATTACCTAATTTAAGGTCACAATGACTTCTAAGAACAATATGGTCTTTGCTCTTACATTTAGATCTTTGATGATCCATTTTGAGTTAATATTTGTATATGGTGTAAGGTGGGGGTCTTACCTTCATTCTTTTGCATGTGGATGTTCAGTTTTCCCAGTGCCATTTGTTTAAGAGACTTTTTATCCATTAAATGGTCTTGGCACCCTTGTCAAAAATCATTTGAGTATAATGTATGAGTTTATGTCTGGACTCTCAATTCTTCCATTGATTTCATAGTAAGTTTTGAAATTGGGAAGTGTGAGTTATCCAACTTTGTTCTTTTTCAAGTTTGTTTTCTTTATTCAGGGTCCCTTGCATTTCTCAATGAATTTTAGAATCAACTTCTCAATCTCTGTTAAAAAAAAAAAAAACACCTAGGATTTTATAGGGATTGTACTGAATATGTAGATCATTTTAGTTAGCATTGCTGGCTCAACAATATTGCCTTCCAGCTCATGAGCATGGGATATTGTTCCACATGTTTAATTTCTGTAGAACTATGATTAATTTTTGTACATTGATCTTTTATCCTACAGCATTGCTGAACTCATTTTTTCAACAATGAGTTCAACATTGCTGAACTCATTATTCTCATTTTTTTGTGGATTCCTTGGGCTTTTCTGTCTACAAGATCATGTCATCTGCACATAGAGATCATTTTTCTTCTTCCTTTCCAATCTGGATGCTTATTTATTTTATTCTCATGCTTAATTGTTCCTGGCTAGAACCTCAAATAGTAGATTGTTGAATGGAAATGGTGCAAACAGACGTCCATGTGTTGTTGTGATCTTGTAGGGAAAAACTTTCCATCTGTCACCACTGATTATGAAGTTAGCTATTAAGACTTTCATAGATTAGATACCCTTTATCAAGTTGAGAAAGTTACCTTCTATTTCTAGCTTACTGAACGTTTTTATCATGAAACAGTTTTTGATTCTGTCAAAAGCTTTGTGTCTATTGAGATGATCATGTGAATTTGCCCTTTATTCTATTCTATCCTATGAATATGATGTATTATATTGATTTTCTTACACGGAACCAATCCTGGGATAAATCCCACTTGGTCATAATGTGCACTCCTTTTTATATTTGCTGGATTTAGTTTGTTAGTATTTTGCCAAGGATTTTTGCATCTATATTTATAAGGAATATTGGTGTGTAATTAATTCTTATGTCCTTATCTGACCTTGGTAGTATAATGCCATCATATAAACAATTATGAAGTGTTCTTTCCTCTTCTGTTTTTTGGAAGATCTTAGGAAGAATTGTGTTAATTCTTTAGATATTTGGAAGCCATCTGGTCCTGGACTTTTCTTTGTAGGAAGTTTTTTGATTTCCAACTCATTCTCTCCTCACTTAGAGGCCTATTCAGGTTTTCTATTTATGGTTGAGACAGTTTGAGTCATTTGTATCTTTCTAGGAATTTATCCTTTTTTGTTTTATTGATTTTTCTCTCTTCTATTCTCTATTTCATTAATTTTTACTCAAATCTTGTTTTTTTGTTTTGTTTTTGAGATGTCTCATGTCTCGCTCAGTCACCCAGGCTGGAGTGCAGTGGCACAGTCTCAGCTCACTGCAGCCTTGAACTCCCTGGCTCAAATGATCCTCCTACCTCAGCCTCCCAAAGTGGTAGGATTGCAGGCTTCACCCACCACACCTGGCCTTACTCAAATCTTTATTTCCTTTCTTCTACTTGGTTTAGGTTTAGTTTTTTCTTTTTTAAGGTAGAAGGTGAGGTTATTGATTTGAGGTCTTTTTTATTTAATGTAGTTGTTTATAGCTATAAATTTCCCTCTGAGTCATATTTCACCCGTTTGTAAATTTTGGTATGTTGTGGCTTTTATTTCATCTCTGGTTTCCCGTTATTTCTTCTTTGGCCCATTGGTTATTTAGGAGTATGTTGTTTGAATCCTGTGTGTTCATAAATTTCACAAATTTCCTTCTGTTATATATTGCCAGTTTCATTCTAAATTCAGTATTGGAGAACATACTTTGTATGATTTCAATCATAAATTTATTAAGGCTTCTCTTATGACCTAACATGGTCTGTCCTGGAGAATGTTCCATGTGCACTTAAGAATGTACATATCTGCTATTGTTGGATAGACTGTTCTGTAGATGTGTATTAGGTCTAGTTAATCGTGTTGTTCAAATCTTCCCTTTCCTTGTTTTTCTTCTCTGTAGTTCTAGAAATTGTTGAATGTGAGTATTATTATCTCTAGTATTGTCGAATTGTCTGTTTCTCCCTTTTATTCTGTCTGTTTTTGCTTCATGCAGTTTGGGGCTCTGTTGTTAGGTGCATATGGGGTTGAAGAGTGTTTAAAGCTGCACTGGTTATTCATACACCTCTATCCATTAAGAGTCCCTGGTTCAGTGGCCCTCCTGGTATTACCAGCCAACTCAGAATGACAAAGTTCAGCCGAGCATGTTTGGCCTTATTTTCTAGAGTGAGCTCTCTTGTATTGATACCTTCCTCAGTAAAAAGGTTTTTCCTCTGGTAGTATTTCATAAATTCATGGTATAGTTCCTCCCCACCTGGTTTTGTCTCCGCGGAAATCAAAGCAGTTCTTCCTTTTTCTTTCCTTCTCTCCTTATTTAACGGTGATTCATTATTTTCCTTCATCAGCAGTCATCAGAAGATGCTGAAGTACATCAGGAGACATAGGACTGTTAATGACGGTGTTACTCTTTCTACTGACTTAATGTGCTTTCTTTTCACATTATTTCAAGTCATAGTATTAAGTAAGACTTTAAAAAAATAAATGCTATTCAAGGACAGATAGAGAATTTTTTGCAAGAGCTAAGAAGTGAAATGAGTGAATTAATAGATTGGGACTTCCCATCAGTCCTAGGGAACATTTGTCATCTGCCATTGAAATTTGAACCTGTTTGTGACTTTGCGATTTAACAGACATTATTAATTTTTCACAATTTAATCATGGTCTCAGTAACCATGAAGGTGTATTTTGTGTGCACATGTGCATGCTTGTGCACCTTAAACATGTATTTTTGTTCCTAAAACCAGAAATACAGTTAGTATCAAAATGCAGTTATTTAGGCTGGGTGGGGTGGCTCACACCTGTAATCCCAACACTTTGGGAGGCTGAGGCGAGTGGATTGCTTGAGCCCAGGGGTTTGATACCAGCCTGGCCAACATGGCAAAACCACACCCCTATTAAAAATACAAAACTTAGCCAGGCATGGTGGCAGGTGCTTGTAATTCCAGCTACTTGGGAGGCTGAGGCAGGAGAATCTATCGCTTGAACCCTGGAGGTGGAGGTTGCAGTGAGCTGAGATTGTGCCATTTCACTCCAGCCTGGGTGATGGAGTGAGACTCTTATCTCAAGAAAAAGAAAAAAAGTTATTTAATAGCCATGATGCTATCAACTGTCAACCTTAAATAATGAGATTCAGAAAATATCATAAAGTATAGAGTTTGTTCAAGCACAGAGCTTGAGGATGGCCACCCAGGAAAACAGCAGCTTCAAACAAATGGGGTCAATGTTCCACTCTGGAGAAGTTAAGGTATCACTTACAT